TGCTGAAGATCAGTGACTGCACATGGAGTTACTGCCCTTCCTATTTATTTTCCAAGCTATATGTATTTATGTACATATGACATGAAGTGGCACCTCTTTCACCCTCTTTGATTATTGTAGAGATATCTCTTGTACCCGCAACCTTGTACCCACTGCTATCCACCACTTCCCTACTTTACTGTGGAAGTAATTTGTCCTCACCAGGTTGGCTGGGTTGCTGGCAAAGCTCCCAGCAGCTTTGTGTTCAGTCTTCAAAAAAGAAGATAGGCAACATCATTGTGCAAAACCAGAAAGAAACACTAAAGGTAATGGATTTCTCATGTGTCTCAGCAGGCTATGTGTTGATTTATTGCAACTGAGGTTTTGGCCAACAAATCTTCATGCTGCTCCAGTTATATCATAAGTATATGCTTTCAAAATCTGAAAATAGCAAGTCTATATGCATTTTTGGATGCAAAAGGTATTGGAAGCTACTATAATTTATGAGGATAGATTTTAAATCTCACTAAATTCTCTTTTTGAACTACATTGCTGCTGCTGTTAGGTTGCCATATATTTCTTTTTTGTGGTTGAGGAAGGCAGAGAGAGATAGAGGGGACCTGAGTTACTGCTGTCATGTACACCTTGCCTTTACTTTCTCTTAATCCAATGCTGACTGCTGTTTTATCTCTCCAGGAAGAAGTTTTTAAGATGTTTAAATGCTGTTGGGAACAAAAGGGTAAATGTTCTGTAATGACTTTAAGTACAGCAGGCAAAAGGAGAAGTTATTGGAAAAGTTTTGGGGAAAAAAAGACAAAAATCTGTCTAAAGAAGATTGCTTTGTTTTGCTTACTGGGCAAAGGCATATTTTCTTAAAATCATGGAGTCATAGAATGTCCTGGGTTGAAAAGGACCATAATGGTCATCTAGTTTCAACCCCCTGCCACAGGCAGAGTCGCCAACAACTGTGCCCAGAGCCACATCTAGCCTGGCCTTGAATGCCTCCAGGGATGGGGCATCCACAACCTCCTTGGGCAACCTGTTACAGTGAGTCACAGAATCACAGAATTGTAGGGGTTGGAAGGGACCTCCAGAGATCATCGAGTCCAACCCCCCAGTCACCACCCTCTGTGTGAAAAACTTCCTCATAATATCTAACCTAACTCTCCCCTGTATTGGTTTGAAATCCCTTGTCCTACCACTATCCTCCCTCATAAACAGCCATTCCCCCTCCTTCCTTCAAGTATTGGAAGGCCAATGGGGTACCAATATCAATGAGCAAGTACTTTGAAACTCTGATAGTTTTAGGAGACTTTTTATAAAGAATAAGGGTTTGAGAGTTTGATTCTAGTAATCCAAACAAGGCTGTATTACAGAGTGCACTGGCAACTTTTTTGTCCAGCAAGAGAGTTTATTGGAATATTTTTATATATATGAATACTAGCAAACCTTGTTTTTCCCTCTTCCTTATTAATTTGAGTATACAAACTCTGTTCAGATTTATCCTTTTGAAGATTAGTTCCTGTTGTATGGGTAAACTGACAGCAAATTTACATAGTTATTCTTGAACATATATGTACTGTTGTACTGGTCCAGTAACAGAACTTTCTTTCTTTAGAGATGGTGCAATTTTCTGTGGAGCAGAGCATGAGAGTTTTAATAAATTCTCAGTTATTACACTGATAGCCTTCTCTTTCAAAAAGGTTTCAGTTTGAATTTGACTTATTTACAAATGAATAGCAAGATTACAAATAAAGTAAGGTCCTCAGGCATACCCAGTTATTTCCCATTCCACTGTCATAGTGTGTGAGCTGCTATGTCTCTGTCAGTCAGAGGAAGGAGTCTCTCAATGAGGCATGATTTCTGATTCTGTGGTTCTACATCTTCAGAGTTAGAGTGCATTTTCTCCCTGTCAGGTTGTGTGATTCAAGTTGCTCATGCTTTAAAAATTAGAACAGTTTCTGTTGTCTAATCTATAGGGCAACAGCCCTTGTGTCATGTATTGCAAACAAACTCCATACTGAGACAAGAAGATACAGGAACTTGTTCTAAATGATTTCTGTAAGTTGTGAGTCACATCAGGTATTTGGTAACTATCCAGTGCTGCTTTCTGCAGGCAGTAACATCATTTGAGGGGGAAGAGGTTCTGCTCATTTGCATGCTGAATAGAATGACAGAACTTGTCTCTCCTGAGTTACTGCAGGTTTGATTATTAGCAACATTATCGATGGTAATACAAGAAAACTGAGACACTGAGGGAGCTGGGGGGCAAAAGCCTTTCTTCATTTCATTATTAAGGTGAACTTCTCTAGTAAGCTCCTTGTAACACTGATAGCAACTGTATTTTGGAAAACAGTAAGGAACAGAAATGAGGTCATATTTCTATCCTTTTGCGAGCTCAGTATTAATTCACTTTGGTCGCTTAAATCACTGCTTTTCTGTTTGAATAGCCTTCCAGCTATCTTGTCACTTAAGCCTCGCCAACTTATCTAGGTTCTTAACTTTGACTGGAATGCACTTTTCATAAGGCTTATGCAAGTTTGTGTAAATAGTAACTTTTTATATATTTATCTTAAGTTTAAACAGTACACACTTCTCAGGTCTTTAGTTTGTGTTGCTGCACGTGTTGTGGGGAGTAGTTTGTTTTGTATGCCAGATCTGGAGCTGGAAGAGGCTGTAGTATCACTACTGACAGAGGATGATTTTACATAGACAAGGAACTCCTCCAGTCAGTATTCTAAATAGTCTAAAACAGAAAAACAGTACAAAAGACACTAAGACATATTCACATTTTAGTTTTGTATTTTCCTGTTGTGTTGCATCATGATTTTAAAAGCTGTGGCATGCTTGTAAATTCTTCAAAGTAAAATGTGAACATGTATTATTTGAAATATTTGTTATGCATGTTCGTTTCATGAGAACAAATCTAGTTTTTAAATTTAATTTTAAAGATACATAGTATTACATGATTACTATATTGAAGATTAACCTGCAATGATGCTAATGACTTCAAAATGAAGTCCAATTAATAAACAACAATAAACTGCTTTAACCAATTATTTCTGAATTTTTAATTGTTTGATTATTTTTTACTTCATTCTGAATGCTGTAAAACCTCTTGGTTCGCTTCCCTAGGCTTAAAAGTCCTATCTTATTTATATATTCTATAAATGTAATCACTCTACATGTTTTCCAGCATTTATATATATATATTTTTATCCTGAGAAGTGGGGGTTAAAACTGTGAAAAGTATTTATGGTCATCTTGATATAGGAAACATAATCTGTTCTGTTTGATAATATTTCCTCAATTTTATGCATTTGTTGGTTTCTGAGTGCTGTTGAGCAGTAAACTTTTGGAAGCTTCAGATCCCATCACTGAATAAGGAAAGACAAGATGTATTATTTCTGAGTGTTGCTAAATTTATTTCATCTGCAGTCACTCAGTAGAGCAAAATTATTCTGCAGCTCTTAAATGTGACCTTCTCAGTCCATGACTAACAAAACTGTCACCTCTCTTTATTTCTTTCTGAAAGCTTATTTTGACTAGAGTAGCTGTCTTTGGAACTGAAAAGTAGGTATTTAACTTTACATGAATGTATAATAATGTGTCACCTAGATACACGGTAGCACCTTAGGAGTTATCTGGGAGCTGCTCCAAAAGTATTGCCTCCTATTTTTATCATCTTGGCCAATGACATCAGAGGTGGATGTTGATGTTATGGCAGTAGAGGTTGAAACTTTCCACCAATATTCCATTATATTTTGTTGCTATGTGACAGGTGCAGCAGAAAGACGGTCTGATAAAATGGCATCTAACATGGAAGTTCCTATGAGGCAAAGGTGAGATACTTGCTGAGTGTTTATGAAAATAGAACAGTGGATGTGAGCACAGTGAGGCAGTGTTGTGTTCATCAGTGGCAGCAGTGCTGAGAAAGATAAGCCACATTCTGGATGGCCATGCACAGCTGGATGGCATGTCATAGGAGGAAATGAGGAATCTTGATCAGCTCATCTGCACAGATCAGTTAATGGTGGTGAACTATGTAGAAAAATTGTGCTCTTTGCGTCTGTTGTAATTTCCATGGAATTAAATAGGAGGCATTATTTTCAGAGCAATGTAATTTTAATGTCTTGTTCTGTAGATAGTACTTTTGCATCATCGTTTCTCTTGGTCAGATTTATGCTGCTCTTACTTAGCATGTCACTCGAGATATATCATTAATTAGTCACCAGTGCTGTAGTGATGATACAGAAACAATGAGAGTGTTCGGTCAGGACATCCAATGTGTACAAGCTTAACATCCAAAGTACAAGCTTAACATGGGCTGGGTAAAAGATGGTTCTTTCTTTCTTGTATTAATGAAATGAGGGTAACTGTACTTCAAAGTGACCTGGAGCACTTGTATATTTTCCTTTCATTTCTACAAAAAGTACAGATTAGAGCAAGAAGAAATGTACTTCTTGTTATTCTAGGGTTGTACCCAGCGTGTGGTTTGTTCTTTACACACAGCCGTATTTTAGCTCTCCCCGGAACTTAAGATCAGTATTATTAATCAGCATAACATTAGATCATTCTAAATTCCAGGCACACTCCTTGTTCTACTACCTGTAAAAACATTTCAAATATTTAAACTCATGTTTAGATTTGTGAGTGAGGGGGTCTGCCATGCTTTAATAATTTGAATGATAAAGATGGCAACACGAGGCCTGCCAGAGGGTCAGAGGTCAGACTGAAAAGGAGTATGAACAAGGTAAGGAAAAGCCAAGTAGGTGCCAAGATGATTCCAGCAACTGTCAGCAAGAAGAGATGAACTAATACTAAAAAAAAAAAAAAAAAAAAAAGCGAAAGAAGAAGAATTTTGACTTCTGTTTTAGCAACTCACATGAAATAGAAAACTAGAGAGAAACTGAACTTTGGTAATTACCTAGTGTTCTGCGTGCAGTCATTGTACCCTGCTATGTTAAAACAGGCATTAACTTACATGCTTTGTTTTATCTTACCTTTGAATAGATATAGGTCCTCATACCTATTCTCACTCTGACACTGGATAATGACAGAAGTGGAAACTTCTCTGGAATATTGAAGAGGATCTTCAAATCTGCTTCAAAAGCCAGAAGAGAGAGGGTTCTTAGGTAAATCTATGTGAACACACACTTAGCTGATACTAGGTTTCCATCACCCTAAGTTGTTGGTGGTTTTTTTTTTAATCTTCCTTTCTCTGTTTAGTTTCTAAATTTTTTATTTCAACGATTTTATTCAGACTGAAATTATTACTCTGTGTTCAAAAGTTTGTGGATCTCTTCAGAACAATAGGATCCTTCTCATCTCAGAATTCTCATTTGTTTACTTCTATTTGCATTGACTATATATTCAAATAAGAGCAGACTACCACAACCATAGAAGAACTTGCAAGTTTTTTTGGAAGATGTGAAGGTGTACACTTATATGGGGAGAAGATGGACTCTAGTATTACAGATTCCAGTAATAGAATTTTCTATAGGTGCTGGAAATCCACAAGAAGTAGGCAATAGAGAGTACTTTTTTCTTTTCCTCTTGCTCTGTTACTGTTTTCCTTCTCTAATTCTCTATAGGGTTAGGGGAAAAAGACAATGATTCATTCTGTTACATTGCTTTCCTCATGATGCACTTCACGATTTGCTGAATTGCTGAATTTAGGATTTACCAAAGGCGAGAAAAGTTGCAAAATGGTCTACTGACCCTGTTCTGGCATTACTTTGTTCCTTCTGCTATGTTCGGGAAAGCAGTGATAGTTCAGATGTCCAGATTTTTTATTTTATTTTTCAGAACCATGATTACAGCGTAAAAGTGAAGAAGTTGGTCACATTCCTGAAAATAGAAGGTATTCTGAAATAAAATTTTAAGAAAAATATACATTGGTCTTTTCAACTCTGGCTTGCCCTACAGAGAATGCATTAGAAGTCTGCTGAATTTTGCTTTAATAGGCTTACAGAGAAATAATAAGATATAAATATTTTGACCAAAAAATTAAACCTTTTAAAACACCGCCTTAAATAGAATCATTTGCCTTATAATTAGCCATACTTTCTTGGAAATTAACAATATCATACTGTAGATAGCTACAAATTATGCATTAATATCTCCTTATTCTAGGATCTTTAAGTTTGAAAGTCTAAAGGGATCTATTTCTAACATTTCTGTGCCAATTAAACTGTACTTATTTGCTGTTCTTTCTTCTTTCTCCCAGAGGCTACCCCATGCCACTGCAGAATGCATATTTTAAGTTTCACTTATTTATTTATTTTCATAGTTTCTTGGTAAATATATTTAAGTTTTTAAACCATCCATACTTGCTTCAGAAGAAACAGTGGTATGAACTGACTGACTAGAATCCTATTATATGACAAATATGCTAAATATACTTCTCTCTCTGACTCTGGTGTTGCTTTCTTCTTTGGCATAGATTAGATGATTTGCACATTTATGAACTATTAACCATCTTCTATACACTCCCCTCGGGAAGCTTAATAAAGACATGAAATTATTTCTGCCTAGGTCACATTTATTAATTTCAGTCTCTGCATAAGATTTACCTTTTACTGCAGTGCAAGAGGGAGAAATGGAGCCAGGGTTAAAGGGGAGCATAAATTGTTAGCTTTCACCAGTTTATATAATCCTCTCTTACCATTCTGCAGTTCAGGAAATTTATTTTATCTTCCTTGTAATCACGTTCCTAAATGCAGTTGGTAAACTAGAAGAATGAAGATAAAAGACAAAATAAACAAACATAAGGTCATGCCTTGCATACTATATCTAGTATAAAATAAACATGAAAGCTTCATTGAAGTTACTCATTAAAATACTGCTACTGCTGAAAGAGGTTGAGGGGTGTCTCATTCAAGTCTGACGTGGAAGATTTGGGGTCAGTTGGTGGGTTAAGTTCTCTCCATGAGCATGCAGATTTAGGTTTCTGCTTATGGGAAGAGGAATCTTTCTTGACACATTCATTACAGAAGACCAGACAATGTTAACTGAAAGCATAGTCAGAGAAAAAAATTTGCAATGTCAAGCTTATTTAAAAGGAAAAAAAAAAAATAGAAGTAAAAAAGATGTTCTGGCCAGACCATGTTTATTTGCAACAAATCAAAGCCTAATCTGCAACTAATGTAAATAGCTAGAAACAGCATTTTGTGTTTGTCAGTGGGGAATTCTATACAATAATTTGCAAAGTCTCTATAACAGTACCGTATTTAGTACAAAACAGTTGCACCAATAAGGGGAACAAAAGTTTTAATTTTTCTTTCTTCCCCTCCCAGGATATTTTGCACATATCACAACTGATGCAAATTCCAACTAAATGGCTTTTTTGGAACCTGCTTTATGTTAAACAAAGAAAGCAGTGTCTGATCTTCACAAGCAGAAAGCGAAGAGATAAACTCCGCTTCTGAGATGTTCCTTCTTGAGGATAGTTTGTCCTCAGTCTGTTGTTATGCTGAGATGGATGATTTGACTCACATCTAAAAAGATCTGTAGTTTTTCATTTCCCATTTTGCTCTTAAACAGTGTTAATTATTTTGCTCTTTTCATTATAGATGCTTCACTGACACTTTAGAAATTAAGAGTTCTAAACTTCTAAGGGAAAAAAATAACAACCTTTCTGATCACTGGAAAATTGTTATTCCATAATGGAAATAGCTGAGTTTTCACTCAAACGTTACTATTCTCCATATTAACGCTTTCACCATGACTCAAGAAGAAGCTATTCTGAGCAGTAATGGGAAGCAACTGCAGTCATTACAAGTACCTTATTTCTGAAAGTAGCTGTATGCAGTGCTTAGTGTGAATAGTCTCTTCTGAATTTCACTCTGTAAATTCAGATACATCAGCTGCTAAAGAAGTGGCCAGTTACAAGAGTGTCTTCATCCTTGCCAGGCAAAATATAGGTTAAATATGCAAGCTTGCCTATTTCAATCCAGTGTTTCAATCCAGTAAAAATGTAAGAGTCTGTCACAGAAAGTACAGTGGCAAATGGGCAACCAGTTGATCATGTTATATTTTAATTTGCAGAGACAAAAATGACAAGCAATTTATTTACATAAAACTGTACAAAAACAAATTAAATTATGTAAATATTTCATAAATAGAGGTGGACTAGCGTTTAATACATTTTGCCATGTTTAGCATAGTTGCGTGCATAGTGATTCATAATAAACAATGATAAATTGTTCTCTGCTTCACTATCAACATCCAAGTTGCAGAACAATAGTCAATGATTAATATTACAAACAGATCGTACCACACTGAATGCAAGTGCTTTAAAATTTAGGAAGAAGTTGTCTGAAAGCAAACCCCAGGTAGCTGGTACATATTGTCTTCTTTCTTGCTTTTCAGTCAATAATACTTAACTGATGGAATTTCATTTCTATTGCTATTTCATCTGCTTCATTCCTTAAGGAAACACTGTACATTTATCACCAATGAAAGAAAAGGAAAAATATTTCATTTCAGTTTAAGTTCTTGCAAGCTTTTGGTGATAGCTGTGCTTATGGCAAGTCTTCAACTCTACTCTTTGCTTTCCTACTTGACAACTTCCTAGGGTAGCCTTTCAGTCAATCATCTGAATCCCATTTAAATTCTTCCCCCACATAAAAATAATGTTTACCTTTTTTTCCTGAAACTCAGGCAGCAGGCCAGTCAGAAATCATATTGAATAAACATACTGGATCTGAGATCCAAAATGAGCAGTAGATTTTAGACCAAAGCTATTGAATTTTCTAATACATATAAAGTTATATATTAATGCATCAATCTATAAAGGTGCCCTAACGTAAAACACATGCAAAGCTCATTCGAGTTTACCATGGAAAGAAATAAAATGTTGATTTCTATACTGTACAACTGAAATGTGATGGCAGCTAAAAGCAATTAAAAAAAAAAATTGTCAGTTTTCCTGGCAACATGAACTGGTGACACCTTGCCAAACAACTATAGTATAGACTGATCATTGTTCTCCAAGCTGCAGAATTAAAAACCAAATGAAGACAATCCCAAACCCCTCACAAAGACTAATTAGAAAAACAACAACAAAAAATGAACAAACAAAACAACCTTCAAGACATATTGAAACCACAGCATTGTGTTAATAATGCTTAAGACTGGTCCATTAACTGAGTTTGGCAAAAGACTTGTTTTTAAATATATTATTTATAATTTCTCAGAAAATAAACAGGTAAATATACAGGTTCAAAAAGGTTGGGAATAGCCCCTTATCCCTCAGTGTCCAAACCCAAATACCACTCTACCATAATAACAGGTATAAAAGGCACAGTTGCATATTTTGCATTCACCCTAATTATTTTTTATAGTTTATTTATTTTTATACAAAAGCACTCTATTTATGGAGTGGTACCAGATTTAACATATTTAAAATAAAAAGAGAAATACAAACACAAAGTATATTTGTGTGTCATGCCAGGTCAGAAGAGTAATCAGCATGTTAATAGTGGCTAGTTCTACTAGAATTGTTGTGAATACTTACAGTATTTAAAAAAATTCTTTCACACCCATTTTAGTTCTAAGGAGATGCTCGCAGGTAAAGTATTTAATGACTGTCTTAATGTGGTGCGAAAATCAGTGAGTGATTGCTGATCCATTTAATCTGAAGGTCTTCTATGACCTGTATTATTAGCATTGTAGACAAAGGGTTTAACAATATATTGAACCAAGCTACCTATTTCTTTTTTGTGTGTAATTTTAAATAAAAATTTATCAAAAGAAATTCTGTTCAGCATTTGTTATGCAATTGTGTATTCTGTTGAAACGTGCAAGAAAAATGTGTATACGTTACATAAGCATTTTAGAAGCATTTTTAAACAGATACAGATTATACAAAGCAGTAACTGCTCTATGCAGTCTCATAACAAAGTACTGGTTTGCATGTCTTCATATTACTTAAATAATTAAACATAAGAATGTTCAATCATTATTAATCTTTGATTTTCTTTCTAAAATGTGCCCATTCATCATTACTGCTATACACAAACTAATGTTACATGAAGAAAGTAAACTTAAGAGAAGAGAATGGAACAGCCAGAAACAGCATCACCGACTATATGGACAAGTGAATTCAAAAGATAAATGTGATGAGTTGTATTGATTTAGCAACCTCTACTATAGGCTGTTTACGGTTATTTTTAAAAAACTACCCAAAGCTACATTATGACTATAGTATCTAGAGAGCCATCTAACCATGCTTTAATGCCAGGTGAAACAGCCAGGGATTATAACGCTTCTCCCCTTCTCCAGCTGTGTCCTTCAGGTGTCACTTTCATCTGAATGTCTGCGCTGTTTGTCATTATTACTGCAGCATGAGCTAGAGAGAAAGTGGCTGAAGTTCTGCGCATTTTGTAGCTTTTATTGCACAAAAACCTGTTTCATTTCCTCTTCCTTTCCTGAAGTGCTCATTGTGAGAATCATTATAGCCCAGAGCTCTTGCATATTGTAGACAGTTTGGATTCGTTTTGACTCATCTTGACCCCCTAGGTGAGTTTCATATCACACCGTTTATTTAATACCTACCCTAAATGTTCTGAGTCTTGACACTGTTTAGCATTGCACTTCACTTGGCTTTAATGCACTATTGTTTCAAGAAAACCTTACATGTTTGATACAAATCAATCTGCAACACCAATGACAAAAGACTCAGCAATCACTCCTTGTACTCTGAAAAGAAGGCTTTATATTTGAGTTGTAATATTCTCTTGTCATTGTATCACCACACTGCCCACCTTCATCCTACCAAGCATTCTCACTAACACAGCCTTCTAGCAATACTACTATTTTTTAATTTTGACTTCAGAAATTCCCTGGAATTGGCAGTATCATATATGAAACATCTGCTGCAACATATCATGTCATCACAAAAAAAAGAAAAACCCACATCATTTCCTTTAGGCATTCAACTGAACCGCACTGGAAAAAATATTGTCATCTGGGCTTGTAGAACGTGCTGCTGTGCAAATGTAACTGAAGGTGTGTTATGAGTACATGTGCATGAGTATATTAGTTTTCTATGCCAAGCCCCAATACTTAGCAGTTCCCCTGATCCATAGTGTGATCTTTGGCCTTTTTGTTATTACTATCTTCCCAGTTAAATGTTAGTCTTGTCCAAAAAAATGATTTCAAGAGTTTATCATTACTATGCTACTATGTGTTACTAATTGTGTTTACATTGAAGTAATCATTACAGAGAACGAGAGAGAAGGAGAGAAAGAGACACAGCTAGAACACATTTGTTCTATGGATAAAACAGAACCAGAGTTCATGATTCATAAGAAAGTTTGCCATGTTTTGGACGGCAGTCTCAAGCTGAACGTGTCTCTGTAGCATCCTGCGTCAGATGAGAGGTGAGAATATTAAAGCTGTGGTCTTCACAAAGTGCCTATTAATGATTATTCCTTTATATTTATCTTTATATCTGTATGGTTTCGGAAGGATTGTCCCTGGTGGGGATCAGCAATATTTAGATGATATGCTTTGAATACATTTTCCCTGACCTGTTATCCTCAACAAGCCAGATGACCATCGAAAAAATGAGTGGCTTAACTCATGCTTCTGCAGAGGAGAAACAACATGTTGTGTCCTTTTTAATCAAGCTCATTACTATAGGAGGAGTTTGCAACCATAGATTTAGGAAAATAAAAATTGGTGAGGGGGGATTTGACATGCAAGTAACAACATTTTCTACATTGTACAGTATAGTCAGGCAGACCATATAATTAAATGCCTGCTATGGAGGCAGAAGTGGCAAGCAGAGCTTATGTCTCTTTGGTGGCCTCCTCTTTTTGTTTCATATTTTTATTAAAATTGTTTTGCTTTTAAGACTTTTGCCCCTTTTCTTGCTCACAACATGAAAGAAATTTGTTGCTGCTTTTTAGCTTACAGGTAAACTTCTCTTCTAGTTAGAGTATTGACAGGAGATGGCTTATATTCCCCTGTCTGTGTAAGGGGGATATCTTCTGGATTGCCTTCTTCTTTCTTGCTGAAACTAGCGGCGCTGAAGGTCTCATAGGATGAGGTCAACTTTTTGTTAAGGAGGTTTCTGTTGCGATCACCCATGAGGGAAGCTTCTCCATTGGCCAGCTTTTCCTGACTGCCCCGTTCATCAACAGGCATGAAAGTGGAGAGTTTTGGCTGGCTCTTCTGCTTTCTTTCAGGAGAAGTGCGAACTGGCATCCAGCAGGAGTCCGAGTGGCCATATTCATCACATTCTCGGGTACACTTCCCTGTCAGGGCTACATCTGGCAGAGGCCTTGAATCTGAAAGTAAAATAGAATTGCCTTTACAAATGAATACTGCAATGTCTTCCAGTGAAACTGAGAATCCTTAAATCTAAAAAAGTTATTTTTAAAAGCCTTAATAAGAATGTTGTAACAATTTCCTTAGCAATATCTTCTTTTATACTGCATGTGCCCATACGCCAAAAGAATATCGGTAGTTTAACTTGAATATTAAGAACTGAAAAGTAAAAATATTAACTCAGTTCCTATGTTTGTCAATCAATCTCAAAAGCAAAGTCAAATTTGGCATTAGTTACTGATTGATTTTTTGCTGTCTAGGAGAGTCAACCAAGCACTTAATTCTGTGCTGCCAATTTCTTTGCGATTATTAAAAATAGCTTTCTTTGATTTTTATGTAACTTGCATGAAAGTAGAATAAAGCTCCAGAACCTGCAAACTCTTATGAACATTCTTAACTTTTGGCATGTGAGCAGATCTGCTATTGACAATAAGACTCAATTTTAGCACAAGGTAAATCTCTGGATGTATTTCTCACAACATGGTATTTATTGTTAGGACACAGGATGAGTGCTACAGTCAGTGATTAGTAGGAGCATACAAAGAAACTGTGGTTGGTTATAAGTGTAATCCAACATACACAGGTAATGCTGTTATATGTGCTGAGTATGCAATGTAGAGAGGTAGGGAGAATCTGAATGCTGCCTGAAAGAGTACACTGATATTTTTCATGTGATGTGCTGTGTTAAAAGGTGTCCTGTTCTAGATCACTGCATCTGCAGTGGACTTATTTTGAGGACTGGATAGGATGCTGAAATTTTTTCTTTTCTTCACTTTACCTTACTTTATGATTTATGAGATATAAGTAAAGTTGCCTACAAAGTAACAAGATGAATAAAGTTAACAAAGAAGAAAAATCAAAAGGTAAATTTAATTTTACAGTGTATTTTATATGACTTTCATATATTAAAACTTATATGCTGCAACTTCTAGGTTTCTTTTATATAAAAAAAAAAAAAAAGTCAAAAAGGAGTAAGGAGCTTCATAGAAATAAATAATAAGGAACTTCATATGGAAGGCAGCCACTTTTTACCTTCGCAATACCCCACCCAAATTGGTGGGAACTGTAATTTTAACAGTCGACCAAAAGTATATTGAGTCTTAATTTTATTCCTTGAAGCTTGCCTAGTTTTTTCTTTGATTTTTGCTGCCAAATAGCCCTCTGAAACACTGACAATTCCAAGTATGACAATTGTATAAATTCCTAGTTTATAGAAAAAGAAAAAAAGACATTCCCGAGGTTTATTTCAAAAAAATAAAATCCTTTCCCTTTCATTTGATTTAAAATATTTACATTAGATGCTAGCAGAGAAGTCATGTTCCATTTCAGCAGCTGCAGATTTAATCCTGATAAATCTCCAACAGCTCTTGGAAGTTGGATTTACATTCAACTCTTCCTAATTCATTCATGAATTTAGCTATTTCTTTCTTTAAAAATTTGTTGCAAAATTGTAAAAAAAAAAAAAAAGGCCTATTATTTTTTATGAAGAGTTGACAATATTTCTAGAGCACGATGAACACTGTGCGATATTTCATATTTCAATGCATCACTGAATTCAGTCTGCTAAATCTAATACTATTCTGTCACGCCTTAAAGGTAAAATGCATAATTAACTGCTAAGCTATATCTAATGTGCTTTGATTTTTAAACAAGAAAACTCTTCTGATCTTTCTAAGAGAAAGCAAAACAACTTTCCACCTAAACCTCTATAAGGTCTTCAACTAACACTTTATTTCTGAACAATAGCCATTAAACATTATGCTTGCAACCACTATTTAGTTATTGCTCTGGAAGAATATAAACAAATACTTCATAAGACAATTGTTTGACCTTTATTTAAAACATGAGCGTGTGTTAATTGAAAAATGTTGCTGTTACTTTTTTGTTTGTTGGTTGAGCTTGAAACTGGTAACGTCTCACAATGTTTGAAGGTTTCTTTTTTTAAGGCAAATAGGCCCTAAACCAGCAACACTCGGGTTGCTAAAAATCCACCCCACACTATTGAATCATACACATGAAAGTTTACCATCTTGCATTGTACTGTATCCCATATTTACTTCTGGACAAATGCAGAATCCTTTATTGTAAAGTGAACCATGAAACATCTTGTGAAATTCAGCTTTACAGTGCAATGCACTGCTTCATCAAGCAATAACCTGTAAGTCAGCATGTGGCTCATTCACCCTGTTATTTTTTCAGATAAAGCTAATCTGCATACCTACAAAGGACCTCAGACAAACTGGAAAGAGGAGGAAAACAAATACTCTCCCAGAATCTTCCCAGATTCATAACAGGGGCCACTGTCTAGGCTCAGTGAAGCACAGGGATGTGCAGTGGCAGATGGGAATCCAAATCAAGGACTCCTGAGGAACAACCACTTTGTCAGGGCCCCTCCCAGGGCTGTTCCAGCAGAGCCATCTGCCCTGTTGTCTGGGAATGAAGCCAATGGCCATGAGTCATCAGCAGCTGATATCCTGATCACCTTTCAGTCTAGGAAGGATTGCTGTCATGGGATTTAGGACACAATATGGGATGCAGGAGAAAAGCAATTGGGGATTGTATGGAATATTTACGGGAAGGAACAAAGGTGGAAAAAGGGGTTGAGGGAAGGAGGAAGAAGCAGAAATATATATATATACATATAATCCCAGAATATATAAATGTATATAATCCAAATTTAAATACATGTATATATAAAGTTGGATATATATATAGTATATATACTTATATTTACAGTATATTGTATATAGAATCAGAGCATCATAGAATTGTTTGAGTTGGAAGGCACCTCTAAAAGCCATCTAGTCCAGCTTCCCAGCAACAGCCTACAGTTAGATCAAGTTGCTCAGAGCCCCATCCAGCCTGACCTTGAATATCAGGTCAACTACCACCTCTCTGTGCAACCTATTCTAATGCCTTACTGTAACAAATTTTTTTCATATACCCAGCCTAAAGCTCCTGTCTTCTATTTTGAAACCATTTTTTCCTTGTTCTACTACAAGACCTTGCAAAAAAGTATACCCCCTTCTTTATTATAGGCCCCCTTTTGAAACTGAAAGGTTGCTATAAAGTGTCCATGGAGCCTTCTCTTCTCCAGATTGAATACAGTGAATCTTTATAGTGAATGTGTGTATACACGTGTAATATATATGGATGCATTATTTACACATGTACACACTCCTACTCACTACTGATCTCCTATGCTGTCCAGCAAGAGAGAGGAGTAGGATAAGTCCATTAGTCCCATGTGTTTTAGAGTTGCTCTGTGTGTCTAGCTGTGTCTATACGTGGCATACAGTGCTCTGTGCACATGCCTGCTGGGAACACATCCTCAGCTTTGCTACTTGTTGAACCTGCAGACATTAAGCTGCAGCAGCCTTGCCTCCTATGGACTACTGAATCCTGTGAGATACATTTTCCTCTAACAAATCCTTCAATTAGCATTTAGCACATACAGTTATTGTAGTCTTCTAGTCCACTGTTTTAAGAGCTTAATTCAGGGTAGCACACATTTAATCTAACATACTAATGAAACTTGTCTGCTCTTCTGTTTAAAAGATGGATATAACTTCAACATTTGGTGGTGAAGTGTGGGGTAGAAGTAAATATTTTCTGTCATTTCTGTCTTTGCTTTCATGACTAAACTATTAGAAATAACTCAACTAGTCAGATGAAGACCAGGGTACCTCTTATGCACTTCAGTAGATAACAGAGATTTAACCTTCATTACGAATAAAACACCTCACAGCTTTAACTACAAAGTAATTAAATGTACTTTTACTAAATCTCTGAACAGATTGACCTTTTGCAGACTAGTGACCTTTATTGTCTGTTTTCATATTATCTAACCAGGGTCGAGAGCAATCTCTGAGTCTGAGAGGAAAAAAAAGTTTTCTCCTCTAGAATAAGTTGCATCTGAACATATCTCTAAATAATGTGATTTTTAAGTACTCATCATTTTAAAAGATAGACACTTCAGTAGCAATCACCCTGCTAGCTGACAAATCTAACAGAATAAGATACAGCAAAGAACTTGTTATCAGAGTTGGCAAATCAGCAAAGAAGAGAATAACAGATTTCTAAAACAGTTATTTATCTTGAAACAGATTCAAATTCATAGTTTAAGTGCCAGTTATTAAGAAATTTTATAGAAAATAAACCTGGAAGGATGGTATTTCTCATCGTATATACATTTACAGACTTTGAATTTAGTTTTTAACAGTTTTACATAGAATATTCAAATTTTAACACTCTACAGAAAAAGTTACCTTTGAAAGTGAGTATACAGAAATCAAATTTCATTTGTATCTGTTCAGACTTCAGCTTTAAAAGAATGGAGAACATTGATTACAGGGTCCCACAGAGGAGGAGGGCCAAAATTTACTTCCTTATTGCATCTCACATAAGATTGCACCAAAAAATTTGCAGTGTTAGATGATAATTATCATTTAAAAATAAAATAAAATTTACTATTGATTCAACAGCTCTTCAAAAATCAATTGCTAATTTCTGAGAAATTTTCCATAAAGCTCTGTATGAAAGCATGTAAATGAAAGGGGTTATTTATATGTATGATCATGTTTCTATTGATTGTATCTGGCTGTTGCTTAAGGACTGGAAGGATTGCTTGTTATAAAAGAAAAAAAAAATAAATTGAAGGCATCTAGCATGGCAGTGCTGAAAGGGGAAACACAATGATCATTGACAGTTTAATCCCAAAAAACTAACAACTAAAATACTCCACCCAAACAATTTTCTATTATTTTCTCTCTTCCCATTCCATACCGAAGAAGGTCAATGTATGTGAACAAGGACAAAGTATTATGAATACAGTAGTCAATGAGAATGTTATAAATTATGTGATTTAATGTATACTAGATCAATCTATGCCCATGACAGGGGGGCAGTAGGTCCCTGCCCCTTCCTTCTCCCCCCTGCCCCAGAAAATGGGAAGGAAAAG